TGGGAAGCTGTTGATGTGTTTCAAGCAGAGAATTATGTGATATAATTTATATCTTTCAAAGATCTATCTGGCTGTGGGGAGAAGGGATTGGAGGAAGAGACAGGCTGCGGTTTGCTGATGTGGATAAAAGTGTTCAGACTGAGTGAAATGATCAATAGCATGCTAGCAAATGCCTAGCTATGTGCCAGGAAGGCTGTTTTTCAAAAGTGTGTGTAGACAGAAGTTGGATTGGAGAAGTCCTTCATGAGCCTATTTATTAGGTTTACATAAGGGCTCTTTTATGGTCCACAGATTTTTATTGCCCATCTTTTTTATTGAAGTATAACATAACTATAGAAAAACATACATCAAAATGTACAGCCTCATGAGTTATATAGAAATGCACATATCCTTTTGTAATCACCAGTCAGAACAAAAAATAGCTCATTATCTGTATCCATTCTGTTCCCTTGTGTTTTTAACCCATCACCCCCTTTTTTCTCTATCCACTCTATCCACTATTGTGATTTCTAACTTGTAGGTTATTTGTAAGTTTCATGTGATGAATGATAGTATGCTGTATAATAGTATGTTGAATGTAGGTCATTCATTCATACTATGCTGATATACTCTTTGTCCATGTGTGCATATATACCACTTTATCCTACCTACCATTGGTATTCATTTAGGTTGCTTCTAGTTCTTAGCTCTGGGAGTAATGCTTCCATGAAAATTCTTTCCATATGCTTTGGAATACTTGTGTACATGTTGTGGTTGGATATATACCAAGTACTGAAATTGCTGGTCATAGGGTATAGGTGTGATCAGTTTTGGTAGATACTACCAAGTAATCTTCCAAAGGTGTTGAACCAATTACACTCTCACCAGCCCAGGAGGAAGGATCCAGTTACTTCACACCTTCACCTACACTTGGTATATTTTGTTTCAGTGATTTTAGATCTGGCAAGTATCTAATTGTGATTTTAATTTAATTTCTGTGGTAACTGATGAGGTTGAGCAAATTTTCACTGATTCTTGGTCATTCAAGTATCCTCTTATGAAGTGTTCAGATATTTTTCCATTTTTCTACTGGATTAACTACTTACTTGATTCTGTGGATTTCAGTGAACTTTTCTATCTTTCTTTCATTTGCCTTTCACCCTACTAATGATGTTTCCTAGTGAAAAGCTCTGCCAGTCCTGAGGACATAAGGTGGTGTCTGGAGGACCCTCAGCTCAAACTTCCCTTCTGCCTATAATGCAGCAAAATATACCAGGCCTCACCCCCTTTATAGCAGGCAGGGTACCCCAGCCCAGGTTTAGAAGGGCTGGAGGAGAAGATTTACCTTAAGTGAAGATTGATAGATGGAGGTGTATTTCCTTGCCACACCTTTGTAAGTGCTCAAAAATTCTTTGCCCAGGAAATGGAGAAAGAAACACAATAGGAGAGAGGGAAAAATCCCCTTTGGGGCCTCTGTCCTGGTCCATGGCCTCCCAGCCACTCAGATTACCCACAGGAAGAGCTTCAAAGAATGAGCCAATGGACCACAATCTGAGATGACACAAACAAAATGTGCTATTCCCAGTTATCTCAAATGTGTATTCTCACATGTCCTTTGAACCTCAGTGCAAACCAGGGAATCACTTCTCAGACTTAAGATTAGTGGAGTTTTGCAACTTTGCTAGGAAGAAAAATACCTTGCTCTAAGACGTATTAAGGAGGTAAAAGCTTTCCCATTCTTACGGTTGTATTTTTCTATTTTTCAGGACTCTGTAGGTATTACAGATATCATCATGCAATTTAGATTTGTTTCTCCCTGGAAAACCAGGTGACTTCAAAGTGATTTATAGCAAGTGAAGTAGGCAGAATTATGGAGATTAGTGATAAGAAGTAAGGTAAGGCAAGAGAGAGAGGGAGAAAAAAGGAAGGAAAACAATTTTGAGCCGGGGATTTAGGATGAGGCAATGTGCTTCAAAGCACAGGAAAGAAAGTAAGAAGCTCAGACACAGCAGCATGTCATCATAGCCAGAGACACTACACTGCTTGTCATGTGGAGCCAGCTCCAGGAGACTGACTGAAGCAAGGAATGTAGACAAAGCTATGACATCACCCTGGTCTATACCCTGAAGGACTAAGAGCCTGCAATGCACTTCACATCCCCTTCAAGTCAAAGACTTGCAGGAAAATCAGCCTTTTTCATCTGAAGGATGAAATGATGGACATGTCCCATGACTGCTCAAGCTTTTGTCAGCTCATGAACCAGCCAGTTAACATTTAGCATGAGGCTTACTTACTCACTGCTCATTCTCATTCTGTCTTGGTCACATCAGCACTTCTGCTCTGTGTGTGACCTCATTTGAATCACAAACAGAATGGATGAAATACTCAGCATCCCCAGACTCTGATCTGGACCTAATATAATCCCCCATCCCTCCCCACGCTGGATGGTCTCACCCTGTGTACCAGGCATGACTTAGCCCCATGAAGCTTCACTCTCTAAGGTGGGGGCACTAACTTTCTCTGCACACCGTGGAATGAGTCTGGGAGTTGGCTCAATTTCATTATCAGAATTCTGATGAATCCCTTTTAACTAGATGGAGCAGTCAGAAAAGTCTTGATGTAAAGAATGGAATCATGTTATAGAAAAAAAGGTTGAATATGTGAAGTTTAACTAGTCATAATCTCAAGTACAAGTTGCTTTAGAATATAGTGTGTTAATAGAAAGCTTGAGACATAGTAAGACCAACAGATCAGGAAATAATTGCCATTCAAAAAATAGTTTGTTAATCACAGTTCCCAAGAAGTGGGGGCACACCATGCCACAGGGGACCACAGGTTGGTCAGGAAGCACAGGAAATGAGGGTAAAATGTGGGCAAGAGGCTTTATTGTGGTTTCCATGCGAAGGGATGGGTAAGGCAGGGTGAATGGGGTTAGGATTGGCTAGTGTGACTAATTCCAGTGGTCTCTGGAGCATAGGTGCTATCCCTAGTCATCTGGTAACTGGTCCTGGGGGCTTAGGGCAGGTGGGTAGTAGCTTGGAGTATCCTCCATAGAAAAGGTGGTTGGGGTATGAGCCCTGGATTTGTTGGTTTGTATATGAAAGGCAAGCTTAGGGGTGGGTTCTTTACTATCTTTAGGAACTGGCTAACTCTGGGAAGGGCTGTCCCTTTAGGGTTATCAAAGCCCCAAGATGTCAAAGTATCAAATATAGAAAATAAAAGATGGTTAATACACAAGTACTCCTGTGCAGTGCCAGCTCATTTGGGGGTGGGTGGAAGGAAGTGCAGAGCTGACCAGGCATGTAGTCCCGTGTTCATTCCTGTGACCCCTCCTTCCTAATCAAGACGGATTTTCAGAGGATCACCTCTGCCTTGTTCACCACACCCTTCTTCATTGAGGTGTTGGTCATTCTCCGACCCTTTTTTGTATCCACCCTTCTCTAGAGGTGCTTCTGGCTGTTTTAACTCTTTCTCCCTTATTTAACTGTGTTATGATTTTAATCTTGTTAAATTAACATTTGCTAAGCAGAGTCCAAGGGTGGCAGATGGTCAGTTGCAATTCAACAAAAGACCACGTGAGAAAATGAAATAGAGTTTATTACTCACAGGTCCTGGAGGAAGTACATGATGCCCCTAGGGGCCAAGAGAGGAGATTGAGGAAGAGTGCAGATAGAGATAATGGCATGGCAGATAATGGGACTCATATTAGAGCCTCTGAGTGGAATCTTCAGGGGATGCTGGAATAAGTCCTGATTGTTCAATTTAGACCAAAAAAAGCAGGGTATAAGTTTCACAACGGTCTTAACCTAGGGAGCACACAAGGGGAAGCCCTATGAGATGGCAGAGCCTATCACAAGTCTATATTTGCTTGTGATTCTGCAGCCTGCTATCTAGATGTGCTTGCATGAGGGGGCTGGTGTCAGTTAAGGGCCCTGTAGGCAATTTGACCACACAAAATGGAGGCCAAGGTAGCAATGCCATGGAGTAGCTGAGCTAAACTCTCGACAACCTGCCAACACAGGCAAGCAAGAACATCTTGGGTTTCTCCCCAGTGCCTGGCACAGCACTGCTATAAAGCACTCATTAATACACATCATGGAATCCGTGACTTGGGCACTTGGGACCACCAGGGACCTTGTTTATCCCATGCAGCACTCTTGGAAAGCAGATGCCATAACTAAAAAAAAAAAAAAAGTCTCTGTGTCAGCCCAAACTGGCTCAAGTTCAGATATAAGCACTTTAAGCAGCTGGGGCTGGCTTTTTCTGCCCCTATCAGTTACACCTGGTATATAAGGTTAGTGTGAATCCTTTCTCATATCTCTGTGAAGTCTCATGGTCTCTCTGCTCAGCACTTGCTGAGGAAAGCCCAGTTTATAAGCTTCCTTGACCTTGGTCCCTTGTTGGTATCCTTCTCTGCAGTCTTTTCTGAGTTGCATCCATAAACCTCCCCTGCTGCGGGCCTGGGGTGCTGTTGTTGAATCATGTTGTGCTCTATTTACATACTGGCTACAGTAGCAGAGATAAAAGCATTTCTTTATATATGGCCTCTTCAGGGCTTTTGCCCACATTCTAATTGGATTGTTTGTCTTTTAGAGTTGAATGATGAGAGTCTTTATATTTTCTAGATAGGAATTGTTTGTCAGTAATGTAGTTTGCAAAACTTTTCTCCCAGCCTGCCATTTTACCTTCTTAACAGGGTCCTTCACAGAGGCAAGGACTTTAATTTCAATAAAAATCCAATTTATGGATTTTGCTTTTGATTTGTCACCAAGCCCTACATCCCAAAGATTTTCTATTTTTTTCTTCTAAAGACTTTGTAGGTGTATATTTTACATATGAATCTATAATCCGTTTTTACTTTATTTTGTATAAAATATGAGGTTGAGGTTTTTTTTGGCTTGTTTTGGCTTTTTTTTTGCTGATGGATATGTAATCAGCAAATGATATCTATTTGCTGAAAAGATTGCCTTTATTCCATTGATTTACTCTTATACCTTTATCAAAAATCAGTTGGCCAGTACATACTTTGGCAGTACATATACAAAAATAGGATTGATACAGAGAAATTACTATAGGCCATGAGCAAGAATGACATGCAGATTCATGAAATGTTCCTTATTTTTTAAATTGCATTGTACTGCACACTTGAAAACAGTTACAATGGTAAATTTTATGTAACATATACATTTCCACAATCTTAAAAACTTAATAATAAAATAATCACTGAATTTTACACTTTATTGTTTAATGTTTGTTTATTTTGAAAGACAGAGAGAGAACACACACATACATGCATGCAAGTGGGTAAGGGGCAGAAAGAAAGGGAGAGAGAGAATCCCAAGCAAGCTCTGCAGCATCAGCACAGAGTCTGATGAAGGGATCAGTCTCACGAACCAGGAGATCATAACCTGAAGCCAAAATCAGTTGGACATTTAACCAACTGAGCCACCCAAGCACCCCGCATCATACACGTTAAATGGGGTAATTATATGGTACATGGATTATATCTCAATAAAGCTGTTAAAAAATGCAGCCAAAGCAAAAAAAAAATCAACTGTTTGTACCTCTATAGATTTATTTCTGGGTTTCCTATTCTGTATTGTTGATCTATGTAGCCATATAATAAACTAAGCTGTTTAATAAATCTTAAATTTAGCTAGAGTGATTAATCCTACATTATTTTTATTTTAAAAAATTGTTTAGGGGTGCCTGGGTGACTCAGCTGGTTAAGCATCAGACTTCGGCTCAGGTCATGATCTCACAGTTTGTGGGTTTGAACCCCACATCGGGTTCTGTGCTGACTGCCAGCTCAGAGCCTGGAGGCTGTTTCGGATTCTGTGTCTCCCTCTCTCTCTGACCCTCCCCTGGTCATGCTGTCTCTCTCTCTCTCTCAGAAATAAGTAAAATATTAAAAAAATAAAATTGTTTAGATCTTCTATTTTCTTTGTCTTTCCATATCAATTATATAATACATTGTCTATAGCTACAAAAATCTTACTTGAGTTTTTCTAGGAATTGCATTAAACCTATACATCATTTTAGGGAGACATCTTTACAATGTTGAATTTTCCAGTCCATGAAACAGTATGTGTCTCCATTTATTTAGATCTTCTTTTATGTATTTCATCAGTGTTTTATAGTTTAAGCATTTAAGTCCTTTACACATTTTGTTAGGTTTATACCTTAATATTCCATCAGTTTACAGAGTAATTGTGAATGGTAGTGTATATTTAATTTCAGTGTTCTTGGGTTCATTACTTGCATATAGGAATAACAGTTTATTTTTGTATATTGATCTTGTATCCTGTGAACTTGCTGAACTCCCGTATTCTAGGAATCTTTTGTAACTTATTTGAGGGATTTTCTATGTAGACTATGATGTCATCTGCAAATATAAACAGTTTATTTCTCCCTTTGCAATCTGTGTGTCTTTTATTTCCTTTTCTTGTCCTGTGTCTCTGGCTAGCACTTCCAATAGTATGTTGAATAAAGTAGTGAGAGCAAACATCCTTGCCTTGACCCTAATCATAGTTGGAAAACATTCATTCCTTCACCATTAACTATGTTAGCTAGAGTATTTTTGGTTAATTTTGTATCAAGTTGAAGAAATGCCCCTTGATTCCTAATGTTCTGAAAGTTTTTATCACGAATGTTATAATTGTGGGATTTGTCTTCTTTAGCTTATTAATATGATTGATTACATTGATAACTTTTTGAATATTGAACCATCCTTGCATCCCTGGAATAATCTGACTTGGTTTTATATGTATATAATTTCATACCTACACATACATACCATGACCAAGTAGGTTTTATATTATTTGTTATACTTATTTATATAATATGTATGATATATAAACAATATTTGTCTTTACTAAGAATATAATTTACTTTTTTATCTACTGTATTTCTTAGATTTTGGTATTAAGGTTATACTGGCCTTGTTAATTTAATTGAAAAGTGTTATTTATTCTTATCTTTTCTGGAAGAGCTTGTATAGAAATAACATTCTTTTTAAAACATATTGTTGTATTCTTCAAAATTTTTCAGAAACAATGTGAGCTTGGAGATTTCTCTTTAGGAAGATTTGAAATTGCAAATTAAATTTCTTTAATAGTTATGGGGATATTCAAATTATCTATCTCATATTGAGTGTGCTATACACGTTTGTGGTTTTCAAGGGATTGGTCCATTTCATCTAAGTGACCAAGTTTAGTGTATACAGTTGTTTCTGATGTTCCCATATTATGCTTTTGGTGTCTGAGAATATGCAGCAATATCCTGTTTCATTCATGTTATAGTTAATTTGTATCTTTTATTTGTCAGTTTTGCTAGAACCAGCTTTTTGTTTTATTGATTCTTCTCCAATGTTTTGCTGTTTTTTACTTTATTTTTTTCTGCTCCTTATTATTTTCTTCCTTTTTTAACTGGCTGTGTGTTTATGTTGCTAGTTTCATAAAGTGGGAGCTTAGATTATTGATTAGAGACTTTTACTCTATACTAATGTAAAAATGGTGCTCTAAATTTACCTTTTAGCAGTACTGTGTCTTGCCTATTTTGATACATTTTATTTTTGTTTTCTTTCAATTGAATATGTTTTCTTATTTCCCTTGATACTTCCTATTTAACCCATAAATTATTTAGAAATCTATATATTTCCAAGTATTTGAAGTGTTTTTGAAATTTTTTCTATTATTGACTTCCAATTTTGATTCCACTGTGGTCATAGAACACACAGTATGAGTTCAATTCTTTGGGTTTTTTTTTTTTTCATAGTTTCTCTAAGTATTGCATTGTATATAAGTAACTTACCACAGTATACTGGTGTTCATGTTTTGCCAATTTGAATAAAATATAGATACTTTACCTCCTTTTAAGTCCCTTTACTTTCTATTTATAATTATCTTAAATATTTCTTCTATGTGGTACTTTGAGAATCACATCAGACAATGTTATAATTTTTGCTTTAACCATCAAATATAACTTAGAAAAGAATGACAATGTCGTGTATTACTCACATTTTTACTCTTTCTATTCTCCTTGATGTTCCAAGTTTTGGGAGATTTTTGTTGTTTTTGTTGTTGTTCTTTGTTATTTCTTTTTCATTTTAAGAAATTCCTTAGCCTTTCTTCTATGTAAGATTGCTAGTCATAAATTCTCTTAGGTTTGTATTCATCTAAGAATGTCCTAATTTACTCTTTATTTTTTTGGGTATGTTTTCTGGATATAGAACTCTGGGTTGACATTTCTTTCAGCCCTTGACAACTGTTATTCCACTTCCTTCTAGTCTTTATGGTTTCTGAGAAGTCCATTGTCACTTGAATTACTGTTCCACTATAGGTAAGATTTCTCCCACTTGGCTTTCAAGATTATTTCTTTGGGGTGCCTGGGTAGCTCAGTCAGTTAAGCATCTGACTCTGGATTTTGGCTCAGGTCATGATCTCATGGTTTGTGAAATTGAGCCCTGTATTTGGCTCTGTGCTCACAGTGCAGAGCCTGCTTGGGATTCATTCTTTCTCTCTCTCAAAATAAATAAATAAACATTAAAGAAAAAAGATTTTCTCTTTGTCTTTAGTTTCTAGGAGTTTGATTATTTTGTGTTTGGCATAGATTTATTGTTTTTTGGATTTATAACATTTCAGGTTTGCTCAACTTCTTGAATCTGTAGGTTTATGTTTTTTGCCAAATTTGATAAGTTTTAAGAAATTTTTTTCTCCAAACACTTTTTCAGCTCCAGATTGTTTCTCCTCTCCTTCTGAGACTTTGATGATGAAAATTTTATATCTTGTGCTATATTCATGTGTCCTTAAGGCTTGATAATTTTTTTTCCTATTTTCTCTCTCTTATTCTGATTGGGTAATTTCTATTGTCCTTTGTTTAAGCTCAATGATTCTTTCCTTTGTTCTATTCATTTTGCTGTAGAGCCTATCCAGTAAGTTTTTCATTTAGGTTGTTGTATTTTTCAGTTCTAAATTTCCTTTGGTTTTTTTTATACCTTCTATTTCTTTACTGGGACTTTCTACTTTCTCATTTGTTTCAAACATGCTTGTAATTGCTTGTTGAAGTATTTATATGATAATTTGCTTTAAAACCTCTGTCAGAGAATTCCATCTCTGTCACATAGGTATTGGCATCTACTAATTGTCTTCTCTCATTCAAGTTGGGATTTTCCTGGTTCTTCTTGTGATGAGTGATTTTCAGTTATACCCTACATATTAATGTTATGAAATTCTGAATCCTATTTAAACTTATGTTTTGGCAGTCCTCCTTGGACAATAGGCTGACAGAGGAAAGAATGTACTACCTAATTATTTCCAGGTGGAAATGGAAGACAAAGTTCCCTCATTCTACCTCCATGGACACCCTAGGGAAGCGAGGAGGGAGGGACACCTTGTAACTGTTGGGCTGGAGTAGAAGAAGTCCAGGTTTCTCATTGGGCTTCAGCTACTATTATCCTAGCTAGGCAGAAAAGGGAATCCCTCATAATGTTCTTGGTCTCTACAGATACTACATAGGTGCAGAAGAGAAGAGTATGTGCAGAAGAGAAGAGTACTTTTTTACTTTTGGATATGGATGGAATTCCAGCCTCCCCATTTAGCTCTGCCAACAGTATGGGCAGAGAGGGTCTTCTTACCACCAAACAAGGATGAAAGTCCTGCATCCCCTCTTGGCTTGCTCTGATACCACCCTTGATGGGGAGAAAGGAAAGGAGTATTTCATTTCAGCCCAACAAGGATTGAAGTCTAGGCTTCCCTCTCAGAAGTGGGGTGCAGCCACAGTTTTTTTCCATGATGTTTGGATAGTATAGTGTGGACATTGTGTAAAATTTTTCCAACCTGCTAGGCTGCCTCTTTCCTTGTCCTTTGGCCAGAGAGAGCAGGCTGTTTTTGAGAGTGTCCATTGACATAGCTAAGTTGCTGGCATGTCCAGCACCCAGTCCAGGATAGGGATAAAGGAAACCCAAGAACCTTACCGTTGTGTTGCTCACGAAGTCTCAGGGTCCCTAGCCAGTCTGCCTTTTATTCTCCACCTTTCAGTCTTCCTAGTCTTGTTTGTTTATTGTTTTTGTCTGTTTCTTTGTTTTAGTATATTAAGCCCAGAGTTTCTATTCCATCTTTTTCTA